CTAAGTAGTTGGTAGCACTAAAAGGAAAAACAACAACAACATAAGAATTTATAGAGAGGGCCGAAACCAGTTTGGCTCAGTGGTGGAGCGTCGGTCTGTGGACTGGGGGGTCCCGGGTTCGATTCCGGCCAAGGGCACGTGCATTGGTTGCGGGCATATCCCCGGGGAGGGGGGGGGGGTGCAAGAGGCAGCTGGTCGATGTTTCTCTCTCATTGACATTTCTGGCTCTCTATCTCTCTCCCTTCCTCTCTGTAAAAAATCAAATGAAATATATTTTTTTTAAAAAAGAATTTATAGAGAGGAATTCACCGGAGCATCTATAATGTAACAACTTCTTCTTTGGTCAAAAATGAGTGTTTACAGACCACAACTGTTATGCACACCTTAAATCCACCCCAAAACCTGGAATCAAACTGTCAGCCCAGCTAAAGCTGAAACAACTAGCTAGGATCCTGGATGTGTACAGATTTCCCTTAATGTATCTTACCACGTTATAGCCTGGCTCCAACTAAAGCAGATTTCTCTCCTCTTTTTTTAAAAAACAAAACTTTAATTCAGTCAAGATAACAGTTCTTGAGTATCCATTGTTACAAAGAACTGTCACCAGCATCAAGAAAACAGGGCCCAGTGTGGAAGACTAACTTTCATGCAACTAACTATAAACGGAAACTAGATTTAACATAAGCACCACAAACCATGTGGAATGGGTAAAAGATGAGGAAAAACCAAGTCAAGGAAGGTTGGGTAGCTTGTGCCTTATCCCATAAAAGATGAAGGCAGCTTGAAGGATGAGCAGGTTTCAACAGGCTAGGAAGAACTGAGGACCCCAAGACAGAAAAACAGGCATAGGAAAAGGGGAGGACAAGTTATGTACAAACAATGCATTTTTGTATAAATAAGGGAGGTTGGCCAGTAGCCCCACGTAACTGTGTGCTTTAAGCATGACATGTATACTTGAGCATTTGAAGTGTTAGCATTTACACTTTTTCCCCATTAATAATATTATGATACATTCAAAATATTCCTGAACTCATTCTAGAATAAAATTTGCTGGCCTACAAGGTCTTTCCTGGTACTTGCCCCCTTCATTTAGATAGGAAAGACTTTTACATGGAGCTCATGGAGAAAACTGAAACCACAGGAGCCAATGGAATTCAGAATAAAAAACACATTTTGAAATAAAATAAAGGTTAAGCTCTCATACCAACAGACCTTGCTAGGTCAGCAAAAATGTAGGTGTTAACAGGAAATCACTATATTGTGTAATCCCCATTTCACCCTTCACAAAATTGCTCTATAATTCAAAATAAGTGAAGCAACAATTGGATGGATGACCAGTTTTTGTTGTTTACATAGTTTAGTGCACAAATGTGCAGTTTCCATGACTTTCAAAATGACGTGATTTACATGAAGCTTTAACAATAAATAAATTTGAAGTGCTGTATATAGTTAGCATATGGTGAAAACTTCAAGCAAAACTCTTTATTCCATTCCCTGGGAGACATTTAAGACATTCTTCCCATTTGGATGTTTTTTGTCTTTAATTTACACCCTGCAAATTTTTCCTCCTATGTAATAATTTTTATTTTATTTTATAAATAAAATGTAAGGGTGGAAAATAAAACAAAAAACATCTTCTTTACACATTAATGTCACAATAATCAGTAACTGAAAACAGACTATATAAATATTTATACATTTGCTATTTTAAAAGTTAGTCATAGATACCACGAATACTTATATTAGTATGTAATAACTTCTGGCCTCTCCATAGACTGTCATTTATCATCCTTCTATAACCACCTGGCATGTCAGAATACCTGGGAAGAAATTAACAGAATTATTTGCAATAAATCTCCCCCAAAAAACAAAACTCCTTCTTAGAAACAAGCACAAATACATCTTTAAACAACAAAGTATTCTGTTATCAATATTTTTAAACCCTTCCATACGAATCTCATATAAAAACAATTTCCCAGAGAACATAGCTTGACCCACGTTATGGTCATGACCTTATTGCACCCTTCTTCCCCCAATTTCACCACAGTGTTTTCCTTTCCTTTCACCTACTTGGATTTTATGTAGAAAAATCCAGATAAAGTTTATGACCACAATTACGTTATAGGGAGATAAAATCTTAATTCCTTCTAACCAAAAATAGGAAACAAGTGATAAAGGCAAAATCTCAATCTAAAGTCACCCTTGGCATCTATCCTTCTGGATTATCAGGATGATCAATGTGTTTGCCATGCTAAGTCAGATGTGATCCAACACACGTCCAAGACAGGCGTCAAGAGAGGACAGAGCTACTGCTCAATATTTACTGACAAACTAATGAATGCATTTGCACCTGACTTTTATTAAAGAAAAAAAAATATTATCTTGCCTGTGATCAGAGGCTAAAATAATGATTAAGAAATACCAATATTTAGATAATTTAATGAATGCTCTCAATCCAGAAAATCGCCACTGAAGCCACTTGACCGTTTTTTGTTTTGAGCTACATTTCTATCCCAACTGCTATAAATCTTTTACCTGAAATGCTCCATGTGGAAACTCATTAAAATGCTCTTGTGAAAGGAGAGCACAACATGACTGCCTTCCCTTTGTCTAATGGCACAAGACCTCTCTCTCCCTTCTCTCTCTCTCATAAATTCATTCTAATTAAATTATGCTTCTCAAGGTGCTCCCTCTCATGCAAGCCTTATGGAATTGTATCTAATATTTTCTCCACAATTGATGTTACATTAAAGAGGCTTTAACTACCTGCTATCCTCCTAATGGCCCTCATTCTTTTTCTTTTCTTTTCTTTCTTTTCTTTGCTTTTTTTTTTTAACTCAAAGGAGACAGGAATTTGACATAACAAACTCTGTTTTAAGAGTTTGCCTTGAGCCGAAACCAGTTTGGCTCAATGGATAGAGCATCGGCTTGGGAACTGAAAAGTCCCGGGTTCGATTCTGGTCAAGGGCATGTACCTTGGTTGCGGGCACATCCCCAGTAGGGGGTGTGCAAGAGGCAGCTGATCAATGACTCTCTCTCATCGATGTTTCTAACTCTCTATCTCTCTCCCTTCCTCTCAATCAAAAAATCAATAAAATATATTTAAAAAAAGAAACCAAAAAAAAAAAAAGAGTTTGCCTTGAGCTTTCATCAGTTCTTTATAATTTCCTTAATGATACATAATAAACACAAAGGCTCAAACAAATATATCTCTCTGAAAACGAAAGAGGGCATTACATTTTAAAGCTCAATGAAAGTAAGGAAATAGTTCAGTTAATGGGTCATTAGCCAGTTTTATGTCAAGACAGTGATGCTACAGGTGAGAGGATGTGCTGATTCAAATGAGTACAATGAATCTTACAAAATTATCAACAATCATTACATTTTCCATAGAGGTAGTAAAGGATATTGATTCTTTAAGCTACCAGGATGCATTTTCATATAATTGGGTGTGTTGTTTTTTAAAAAGCCAAATCCAAAAAAGTATGTAAAATCTCAATACATATCTTGGCCTGTGTTGCAGATTCTCATCAGAATTTTCTATTTTTAAGTAAAATGTAGAGGGAGTAGTTGTTTTCTCTTTCACACTTCTCTGTGTTTCAGCAACCCAGTGGGATACATGGGAGCTGTAGAAGTAATGAATAGTTTGTGGCTAAAAATATTATATATGATAGACTTTCATAACTTTGCTAACTACGGTAAGTATGTAAATAACTTTACCTAGAGCCATAGAGAAGCTACTTAAGTGTGAAAAGCTGGCTTATACTACTGTTATTAGTTAGAAATATTACTACTAATATTACATTATTTAAATTGCTGTGGTTTTTTTGTTTATTTGTATTTCCTTCGTCCTTTCTGTCATTATTTGGGGATGAGTATACATTTAATTATGTGGTTGTGACAACTCATTGTGCTAAATGTGTAAATACACTAGAACACTTCTTGAAACATAAGTAAGTGGATATGTCTTTTCTACCCAACATGACTGATGTCTTTTTAAGGGCTGTGATAATATATATATATATATATATATATATATATATATATATATATATATATATATATATATTTAGTTTGGAGATTCCATACACCATTTCTCAGCAGAAGCTCTATCAAAACTGTGGATTGGCAGGTCAAATCAAAGTGTGAGATGCTTTAAAAAGGTCAATGTTTTAATATTAGAATTTTCTGCCAAATGGATCAATTAATCTTCCTGAAAAATAACTTAATTTTCTGTGTAAAGTGTTAAATGTGACCATTAATTTTACCCAACATTTATTGAGTACCTCCAATGTTCCAGGGGCAACATCCTTAAAGTGTTTTATAAGGATTAACTCATATTATTATCTCTCTTATACAAATGAGGAAATTGAGGCACAGAGAGGTCCATGGGCTTGCACAAGATTATAATGCCAATAAAAGGGAAAGCTGTGACTTGAACCAGAAACTGGGTTCCAGAGTCCACACTACCAACTTACTCCTTAGCAAGTCACCATACTCCTAGGTGGTGGGAAAGAAAACCACAGGTTTCTGTAGATAAGTGGCCAATATGTAAATAAATGCCATAAATTCTATGACACATATTTGCTCAGCCACGTAAGCCTGAGCAGTGACATATTGTACAATAATATCTTCACAAAGCTCAATGTTGGAGTTCATTAGATATTTCAAATAAACCAGAGGCATATAATACCATGAGACAATATAATACCAATCTGGCTGTAGCTGAAAATACCACAGGCTTGTCACCACTGCCAATGGCAACCAGGGGCAATACAAAATGAATTACATGATTCTAGCTCAACCTTTGAACATAACAGCAAAACTTCCAAGACTATGCAAAACAAGTACCCTATACCTAGGAAGCTAACATCAGAATGAACCAGAAAAATTAAAGCAAAAACAAACAAAACTACTTTCATTTTCTTCCTAAAAAAATCTCATTTCCATTAAACATATGCTGTATTACCTTAGAAAAGCTTCCTAAGTAAACCACGTACACTCATCTCTGAAATGAGGATGTTAGCATATATTAGAAGTAATGTGAAAATTAAATGAGGTGACAAAAGTAAAGCCATTTTCACTTTCCTTAGCATTTTAAAAATATAAACAAATAGTAACTATTAATAGATAATAACCACAATCAGAGTATGTCTTTCTACTTTGAATAGAAGGACCTACTTCTATAGAATTTTATTATTGTTTTCCAGGACGGTTTCATGGAATCCTTTTTTAAAATTTCAAATGTAAATATACAAAGAAATATACAAATGTGAAATATACAAAAAATGCATGTACTTATCAACACTTCACACTATCTAATCTTAAAGTATAAATATTTATAATAAACAAGCTTCACTTTAAAAAAAACTTTTATACTATGTTTAATGGATAGTAATATTCACTTTTCTTTTATCAAGTATAAAAAGAGGTATAAATTGAAGAGCAATCTGCACAAACCACTGGTAAAGCAGACCACAGTTCTGGTCTTTAGAATTCTAGTCAAGGGTAGCAGTCACATTTTCTCACACCCTTCCTTCTCCCTTAAAATAGAGACTATTCTTACTCCAAAATGGGAGGTGAGAGAATGACAGTGGTGGCTTTTTGGTGGGAAAGGCCGTTCTCCTACCCTTGCCTAAGAATGGCAAATATAATATCTCGGAGTGATAAAGGAGGAGGGGGGCAAGCTGGGGTGGTGAGGTCTCTGCCTTTTAAGCAGCCAGCCAGCAAACACAAATGCATGCAATTTGAAATTTTAATTAGGGTGCCATGTGCTGGTGACATATGGCAACACACTGACAGCTGGGCGTCCAGGTTCAGGAACAGACCTGGGTTCTGAAGTCACAGTTGGCAGAAGCAAAGTTCTCTGCTTGTGCACTAGGTGCTAGCATGCCTGGGAAGTGCTGTGCCAACATCGTCCCACCATGCAGCACTGCCTTCCGGCCGCTTGTAGACACCGCCTGCCAGGGGACCACTACTGCAATTCAGATAGAGTGTAGAGCAAATGAAAAGAAACATAAAAAGATTCAACTCTTCCTCCCCCCCCCCATCCCATTCTCAGTTTCAAGCCAGAAAATATTCAAAATGGCATAAGTTACTGATTCTCTTGTGACTTCTCAGTCAGAGACTCTGGGACATTCCCACTAACCTGCCTTTGCAGGAGCAATTTCCCTATGACTGTGATACTATGCATATCAGAGCGTGATGATCAAGAAGCTGTTACCTGCACCAAAGTCCATAACATCAAGCCCTTTCATAAAACCAAGTATGATTTAAAAGTCACATCTACATAGATTAGAAAAGAAATCTTGTTAGCAAAGTATCAAGATTGAATAAAAACATTTTAACACAACTTGTTAAGCATTAAAGGTCAAACTGGCTAACTTTTTCTTCTACCAGAGTTTTTTTCCATGATGAATTAAATGTTGGTCAGTTTGACCTTTGAAGTTGAACAAGTTGCCTGAAAATGCCTTAAAATGGGTTAATGAATTGCTTGTAGCTTCTTCATTCACTTTGCCTTGCCCCACTTTGCCTATTAATTCTACTTAAAATGAGAATAGTCTAAGTCTGCTGTTCCTACACAAATCCAGGACCACGGCGAACAGAACAATGGGAACATTTCTTAGCTAAATCATGCAGTAGTAAGAGAACCATTCTTTAGAGCAAGCATGTCAAACTCATGGGCCATTTCAGACAGAGTGTAGAGCAAATGAAAAGAAACATAAAAAGATTAAAGAAACATAAAAACAACAACAACAAATATTTATGCAGGCCAGCCAATATGACAATATGTAAGAAATGTTTTAATAAAAATTTCGTAACTTAATTTTTACAATATCTTGTTATACATATAATTGTTAATAACGAACTACAATGTTAGCTAATGACTGATTACTATATCCTATTGCATTCATTTCCCTTACACACCTTACATGCAGGCGCACCATTTCTTTCCACTAATGCTAGCAGAGAATATTTTAGCAGCCGATAGCCACGTCATTAGTCTTGGACTGACTTGTTTGGTGTGCACAACAGGAAATATTTTGCTTTTGGAGAACAAGAAAAATAGGTTTGTTTGCATTACACTTATTAATTTGTGCAGTTATTCAGTGTCTGGTAAGTTAATATTCAAGAAAAATATTAATTTTTATTAAGATGTTCTATTACTTTATGTTAATGATTATTCATTTATTTCAGCCCTTTGTATTCATCATATCTTTATTGAAATAAAGATGTTTCTATGAAAATTGTAGCTTTTGTCTTTTTGTGGCCCATCTAAACTTAATCCTTGTTTATTTGGCCCGTGTTAGCCTTTTGAGTTTGACATGCTTGCTTCAGATCCTTCTGAGCTACAAGTATTTGACTGTAAGGAACTAGAGTAAGTAAATGTGCATGCCAAACTGTGCTGTCCACAATTCTGTGGGAAATCTGAGTTCTAGCCAATAAGCAATGAAATTCTTCTGAGATATTATAAATACAGGGTCCAGATCCTTAGCTCTTCCTTGCGTTCCAAATCAGCAAAATGAATTTAAGGTAGAAATATCATTGAAGTGGAAATTCAAAATTCATCAATTTGATTTAAAACCAGCAATTTGCTGCTTCCCCTTATTCAATAAACACACACTCACACACACACACACACACACACACACACACACACACACACACTCACACACTCACACACTCCCTTAAAGTTTTTAAACAGTATGACATATAGAAAATATCACTTTATATTTTACTATTACTATTATTATTATGCAGAGAAATTGATTTACATCACATTTTATTCTCTTTCAACTTAATTTTTAGAAAGCAACAAAACAAGCTAAAGATTAACATCAGCTATTTCAGGCTTCAGACAACAGTGCTGCAAGCTGGAAAATACAGATACTAGAATTTACACCCTCCAGTTGTAAGCCCATTAACTAGTTTGGACAGCACATATGCATTCCGGGTACAAGTACCCCTAAAAAATAAGGCATGCTGATAAAACAAAAAAACAGAGACTACTGCAGTCTCTATATATTAGAATGAGCTCTTTGAAATAAAATACCACTAGGCAGTAAAATTGCCTATAAAATTTGCTCTACTCTAAAAAATGCACTAAAATATACCTTTAAGAATAATGAAGAAAATAAAAGGCAAGAATATTCTCAGTTATAGATATTTTACAAATTTATCTTAAAGTAACTTTTAACTGGTTCGAATAAGGAATCCTTTCACTTGAGTAAGGGCTCCACAGCCATATCCTAGGAGTTTACTAAGTAATACTGACCACCACCATGGGGACACAATATTTTTTTGCCCTGCTAAAATTCCCTATAAAGTTTCCTTAGGTTTCTTGTCCAAATCAAGTGTAGGTATTGATTCCCAACCCTAGATTTTCAATAGTAAACTAAATCTATAATTTTATCAAAGGATACCACTAAATTTCACTTAAAACCCACCTATCGCACCTATACACAAAGGAAAAACAAACACCCCCTGAAAGCAAACTTACTTTTAATTTTCTTTATAAAACTAAAAACTTATAAAAGTATGAAGTATAGAGTTTAAAATACACTTTCCAATCAATAACAGCAGAGCTGGAATCCACATATGGACAAATAAACCAAATCTATCCAAAAAATAAAGACCCTATTATGAAAATATTTAGTTACTCTATAAGAAACATCAGGCTCATTAAAAATTGTTAGACATAGGCCTAGCCAATTTGACTAGGTAGTTTAAGCACTGGCCTGTGGATGGAAGGGTCCCGAGTTCAATTCTGGTCAAGAGCACATGCCAGGTTGTGGGCTTGATCCCCAGTAGTGGGTGTGCAGTAGTCAGTCAATCAATGATTCTCTCTCATCATTGATGTTTTTATCTCTCCCTTCTCCCTTCCTTTAAGAAATTAATAAAAATAGCCGAAAACGGTTTGGCTCAATGGATAGAGCGTCGGCTTGGGGACTGAGAGGTCCCGGGTTCGATTCCGGTCAAGGGCATGTACCTTGGTTGCGGGCATATCCCCAGTAGGGGGTATGCAAGAGGCAGCTGATCGATGACTCTCTCTCATCGATGTTTCTAACTCTCTATCTCTCTCCCTTCCTCTCTGTACAAAATCAATAAAATGTATTTTAAAAAAAAGAAATTAATAAAAATATATTTTTTAAAAAGCTGTTAGATATATCTGCTTTATTTATCCATGAATTTTTCTCTGACAACATAATTAGGTTAATAAAAACTAAAAATGAGTTTCTATTCCCTGAAATAATATTATACAAAGTAGTAATATGTAAAAGAGGTATTTCTTGGGGTTCCAGAAAGTATACTGTTAATTAAATGTAAAATTTTCACTGACTCAGAGGATGGCAAGTTACAGAACATTTACAAAGGGTAAGCATCACCTTTGAATAGGCTAAAACTGTCAAAGGATAAAATAATTCATAAATTTAATTCAAAGATAAAGTGTTTAAATAAAGATAATATGAATAGAGCAGTAAATTGTATTTTAAAATGTCTTAACTTAGTGACACAATATAACAAAAAATAAGAAAAAGGCAAACAGAGAACAGGGCATGCAACAAAGATCAGGAGAGCGTATTGTTTATGGGAATAAATTGCTGACTTGACCTTGAAATACAAAAGATTCCAGAAAATTTAGGTTGAGATGAAACACAGTTTCTTTTGGTTGCATTTCACATACAGGTTGCATGGCCTGGTCATTTTCTTATGTGGCTAAAATAATATTAACTAACAAGGGAACCTATTAATGACTGCATAAGAACAGTTTTTGATAAAGGAATGTAGTTGAACAAAATTAACATTCCATAACATAGAATAGGAAAGAAAAATTTATAAATTGATTGAAAATATTTCAGTGTACACACCTAGCTATTGTTATTTTAAATATGGCAGCTATTGTTAGGGACACTTATTGGACAAGAAGTGGTGATGGAAAGAAGCAGAGATCTATTGCACTGACTTCTCAAGGGGCTTCAGAAAAAGAGCCAAGAGTTAAAAAAGAAATTTATAGGAACTTGGTATGAGGTCCATGTTGTACACAGGTATCTTTAAAACCAAAAGGACCTCTGTATGGTCCTGCATTTAAACCAGATAGACTCATGAAACAGTTTTGAAAGCTCTAGAAATTAAAAGCTATGTACAACCTGTCCATAAGGGGCCAGGAATAGGGCATTTTTAATTAAACAGAAAAGCAACCCACATGGTGTGGTGGAAAGGGCCCTGAACTCAGATCTGCTTTGCCAGCTCTGCCACGTACTCCCCACAGAGGGGAGCATGGTGCTTCCTCACCTACCACATGCTGGGGTGGGGCCCAGGCCACAACTTTTCCCTCCAGCTCTGAGTGCTTTCTATGACCTAATCTCTACTTTGACTACTTTATAGGGTGGGTTTCCATGAAAATGAAATAAGGTTAGCTTGTGTAGAAATTATTAAATGTTATTTTTTAAAATACAGGAACTCTTATTCTGACCTAAAGTTGATGTGAATAAAAGGGGGTGGAATGCCTCAATGGCAAAGGGTTGAGAAAATTCAGAGATGATATGTTGCCTGAAATCTTCAGGAAGAGAAGTGATTTTCTGTGCACTCAGAAAGAATCTGACAGCAATCATGAGACATGGTGTCTTTTGGAGGCCACATATTTTAAAATCCTGAAACATAACAAAAGGTACTAATGTCCACCAATGACTCTAGGCCAAGTGTTGTACTCAGCACTCGACATGACTGATTTCACCAATTCTCACATCAGCCTTATGTGGTACATGTTATTATGTCATTTTACTAGATGGGAGGGAAATGACACTTACAATGTTTAAGGCAAGGTCACTTAGTTAATATGGATTTGAACCCGGATCTCTGGCTGACACTAAATTATCTTGTTAATCAAATTATCAGATTAATTATCAAATCAAATCCATCTTGTTTATAATAACTAACACATTATACTAATGCAGTTCCTTTCTGCACAAGCACTCCCCCAATTTTAATTGAATTCAGCAGGCCAATAAGTTAATTGGGTCAAAAGTTAAGTTGACTTCAGATGTATGTAGACAAAGCCCTGAATAAAAATGTAAGCATAAAAACACATACTTTTAAGAATCTGTACTAGAATTATCAGTCCTATTAGAGTATGATATTTGCCTTTTGGTACTTCCATGACAGGTAATAAAAACATTAATGAGGAAATTTTTGAAGAGAAAAGTAGGAAGGTTATGAAATAATTGCATGAACCACCAGAATTTGTTTCTGGGATACAGCAGGTTTGCAGCTTGTCCAGAACATTTATCATATTTGTGTATAATCTTTGATTATAGATTATGATCCTTCATCATTTCTTTTTCACCACATTAATAGAGAAGACATTTGTAGAACACTGAAAAGCTTCTACTGAGCATTTTGTCAATGGAGAATTATTAACTGACTATATATTAAGTTCCACTTATTTTCATTATACCTAACTCAAAAGCTACCTCTGTCTTTCTTTGGATTGGGAGTTGAGGGGATCATGTAGGAGACAGAAGACCAGACAGAGTACGTTCCAGTTATCAGTTGATATAACCTTAAGAGACTTTCATAACTGGACAACTTGAAAATAAAGAAGGCCCCTCTCATAGCGCTCAGTGATCAAAAGAGAAATACTGGAAGTTACAGAAAAGTTTCTTTACTTATGCTTTCTACTCAGTTTCATACTCAACTATTCTGAACAGCAGATATTAACATTTTCTTAAGCACATGATGTAAATTGGTCCAAAACAAACACATGGTCACCTGCCAACTTTGGGAAGTTTTGAAGGCACACTCAATGATAACAGCCATGTTTCTCCCCCATATCAGAGGATTCTGACAGTGCCTGCCAGTTTTGAACTCTGTACTAGGCTAATTTTAAAAATATTTAACAGAAGATTTTAAGAATCTTAGTATGAATTTTTTCAAGAAGGAAACAGAAATGTGCAAAATTTTGAAATCCCAGGTGAGGGCCTAGTACACAGTTAAAGGCTAGGATGCATTAAGGTCCTACGCTTCTTTGCAATGCCAAACAAAACACACTGTCATGGATGGTTTATGGAATTTCCTCTTTAGATCAGAAATGCTTCCAAAACTACCTCCTACTTGGTGCTTCAGCACTTCGGTAAATGAAGTCAAAAGTGATCATGTACACAAAGCCATGCTTATTTTGACAATTCAAACCTCAATAAAGGCTCAGTTCCACATGGCGGCCTAAAAATTTTTGTAGACTCAAGAAAAATGAAGTTTTTTGTTGGGTTATTTTTAATAGGCTTCAAAGCTTGTC